GCGGGCGCAGGGGCGTTGCACGCCTGCGCGGCCCGGCCGCGGGCCTCCGCACTCGTCCTTGCCTTCTGCTCGAAGTGGATGGTACCCTGCACTGGGCCGTCGCCTTTGAGCACGCACACGGCCTTGGTCGCCATGGTTTGCGTCCGGGCTCCGAGGACGCGAAGAGAGCGCGACGCCGGCCGAAGCGAGGTACGCAGCAAAAGACACGCAGGGAAAACCGAAATGACCCCCGCGCTGGGCTTTTATAGGCCAGTCTCGAAGCCCCGCCCATCCTGGCCAAAGACCAATAGCTGCGCGCGCACGGTTCCTCCTCAGGAGCGTTTTTACGTAAGCGGCCGGCCAGACCTGGGCGGGGCTTAGTCGAGGCGCGTGGAATCATGCCCTTACGGGTCGTAGATCACTTCTGTGCCGTAGCAGTAAAATGCCCGGGAACCAAAACCACGGAATGAAACAGCCTTTCCCTTCCAAGGGGTGTTAATTGTGGAATTGTAAAAATAAGGTGTATATGGTGTCTTCTTAGTTACCTAGTGCTGCTATCACAGAACACTAGAAACAAACAGAAATGGCGTTATTTCACTGTGTAGGAGGCTGGACGTCTGAATTCACGTGCCAGTCTTTGAGGAGGGCTTCCTTTGTTGGCGCTGAAAGAAAGTCCTGGTCTTCTTTCAACATCTGTGAGCCCACAGCATTCCTTGGAGATCGCCATGTGTCCTGGCATCAATCTTCCATCAATCAAAGTCTATGAGGTTCTCAGCACAGGGTCCCAAACAAGTAACTCTATTTGCTTGCTGGTGGCACAGGGGTTAAGGTGTTCGACAGTACAAACCCAGCAGCCAATTCTATGGGGAAAAGATGTAGCAATTGGCTTTGGAGGTACCTGCTACCACTAAGAAAAGCTAAAACTGTGAATTGCTGACCTTATGGGAACCGCAGCCCAACTCACCATCACTACACCAACAGGGCTCTCAAGCTTCTGTAAACTTGGTGCTCAGCATTTTAAAGTCTAATACAGAGCCAAGAAGGGACCTACAGGAAAAGAGGTCAGCCTTCAGATGGGTGCTTGTTGAAATGGCTACGTGCAATTTAAATCCTACCCCATCACCTTCTTCAGTAAATTCCAAACTTCCCCCTGATGCTTGGTGGGGAGGATTTTGTTTTGAAGAATACTGGATCCTTATACATAAGCTCAGGGTGAGACAAGAGCAGAGGCTGCTCCAGCCCCAACTAAGCTACCTTTTCATGTATTTATTCAGTAATACAGAACCTTATACTACAACGTCTCCTCTACCAGAGACCCATGTTCCACATATTTTATTATCCTCTAGGACACTGCTTGTACCTGCTTGTCGTTTTGTGGGTTGAGGCTTTTAGCATTTTCGTAGCAGATAACTAGAATATGCTAGGCCATTATATAAACTTCCAAATACTTGCCAAGTGGCCTTTGCCCAAGACTAAAGTTGCTTTGGGGTTCAGAAAGTCAGACGCAGATTACAGTTTGATGTAAGAACTTGCTGCCAAAGCAGCCCGTGATATGAAAACTGCCGTGGAACAGGGGTTGGTCCTCTGGCAATAGCATAAGTCCCTGTTACTGGTTAGCAGTTGAATACTTTAACTACTGTGTGTACAGTACTCCCTTTGCACTAAACCAAAACCAAGCCAAACCCACTGCCATCCAGTCAATTCCAACTCACAGGGACCTTATAGGACAGAGTAGGATTTCCTCAAATGGTTTCCAAAGCTGAATTCTCAATGGAAACAGATGGGCCCATCTCTCTCCCTCAGAGCTGCTGAGGTTTGAAATTGCTGAATCTTTGGGTTAGTACCTGAGTGTTTAACCAGTGCACCATTAGGACTCCTTCTTGCACTAAAATAAGGCTAAGAATTGTATGTACCTGTCCCGATTTATCTACAAATTTAACGTAAAGATACACTCATTTGTAATCTGGGAATTTCCTGTTTTCTCAGGAAGTCCAGACAGTCCTCGTATGGGATTCAACCATCTATGTGGCAGCATTAGAGGACCTCTGAGGTTCATTCTAGTCCCACCGTTAAACCTGGAAAAGGATCCCAGTCCCTGGGCCCACACTTTAGAGTTGGGTTTTGTGTCAACTTGGTTCAGCCAGGATGCTCAGTAGTTTGAGAGTGAGGTATCCTCCGTAAGAGGCAGGTCATCGCCTGATGAGGCCTCTTTGGGGATGTGGCACACTTCATATCTACAAATAGATATTGTGGAGAACTAGCTCTCCCACTTCTTCTTCCTGTTGGCCTGGGTCCTGCATCTGGGGCATCTGGGTCTTGGGCCAGCAGCTTGCCTTGTGACTTGCCAGACCTTAGAGCTGTCAGAGGCCTGCTATGTTGCCTACCAATATTGGATCCGCTCGACTCTACTGGTCTGTGGTCTTCCCACATCCTGCTTCACTTTCCTGCCTCCTGGTTTGTCTTCCAGCTTCCTGGCTCCCCAGCATCGGCAGCCATGTGAGCTGGGAAGGGCTTTAAGCTTGGCATCTGACCCACAGACTTGAGCCCAAGTGAGCCTGCTGCTCTGCAGCTGTGTGGGCAGTTGCTTGATACACATTTCTATATTATACATAGAGGAGTGGTTTTGTCTCTCTCAAATCCCAGCCTAACACGAAGACCCTCCCTCCACTGGCCCTCCACAGACTGCATCCCCCATGGGGAAAGAGGCTATAGGGCCACAAAGGTGTTCCTACCCAGAACCTGCATTCATTCCTCTTTTAGGACAGGATTATTCTTGTTAGTTGCCATAGATTCCGTTCTCATTGTGGACTGTTCCACAGGACTTTCCAGATGGTGACCTTTGGAAGCAGATTGAGTTTGAACCACCAGCATTTTGCCTAGTAATCCAACACTTTACCACTTGCCTCTCCTTTGTTTGTAGATATAGATATGTGTGTATGTGTGTGTAAATATATATATGGATATATATATATCTCTTATGCAAGGTATCTCAGCATCAAGCTACTGCCGTTTTAGTCTAGGTAATTCCTTGAGCTGTCTTGTGCATTGTAAGCTTCTTAACAGCATCCTTGGTGTGGTAGTTGCAATGAATGTACAAATGTGCTTTACACAATTGATGTATGTATGGATTGTGATAAGAGTTGTATGAGCCCCTAATAAAATGATTTTTAAAAATGTCCCAGCGCAGTCCAGATCAAGCCCATAAGTCCGATATTAGCCCATATATCTGATACTAATCTATAAAGTCCTCTTCAGAGCCATGAAACACATGCAATGACGCTGAATGCAGGACGATCACAGGCCAGTGGGTAGAAAGGCTTTGGATTCAGTGGCGGTGTAAGCACCCCAGTGCTGGCGGGGTCTCTACGTGGCTTCTCTGGCTTCAGAGGTCTGGTTGCATCTGGGTAGGCCCATGTGGCTTCTCCAGCTGTAGGCACTAGCCTAATTCCATGTGTCTTGTCAGCTGCAGTGTCTCTCAGGGAGTGAACAGAGAGCCTGTTTCCTGCCTCCAAGGTCTGGAGTTCCCAGAATTCTCAGGAGAAGGCCATGCCCACACAGAGACCTCATTGGCTATGATTTGATTGATAGGCTAGACTCCACCCCTACACTCTTAATCATCAAACCGACAAACGATTATATAACTACCACAAAATGCCTCCCCTCCCACTTTGCAAATCCTTGCTCAGGAGCATGCATCCACTGCCCAGGACCCTGGATTTCCTGCCCAAACAGTCCTTTGCCCACTTTCAGGGCCTGGGCTGTGCCACCAGTGTATACCCTTCAGCTGGTCCACAGTTCCTTCCCACAAGGGTATGGGGCCAGGTGTGGGGGAAAGAGAAAGGTAGGGAGCCAAAACCATCTTCCACAGCCGAGAAAACCTTACTGTGTAGTCGATTCTGTAACGCATGGGGGGCAACGATGTGCCATCGACTCGATGTTAGCTAGGTTTGAGGCGTTTCAGTGGCTAAGAAGTGAGTTAGGAGGTAGACAGAAATTGCAGCCCTGTGTTTCCATTCTTTTCCCTACACTCCTCTTCCTCCTCCTCCCTTCCCATACTTTTTTTAAAAATCTTTTTATTGGGGGCTTGTACAACTCATCACAATCTATACATCCATCCATTGTGTCAAGCACGTTTGTACCTTTGTTGCCATCAGCCTCAAAATCTTTTCTTTCTGCTTGAGCCGTTGGTATCAGCTCCTCATTTCCCCCTCCCTCCTCCACCCTCCCTCCCTCACAAACCCCTGATAATTTTTTTTTTAACCCTTGATAATTTATCTTTTTTTTTTTCCGTGTCTTACACTGACCTCTGTCTCCCTTCACCCACTTTTCTGTTGTCTGTGCCCCTGGGAGGGGGTTATATGTTAATCATGGTGATCGGTTCTCCCTTACTCCCCCCACCTTCCCTTTCCCCTCCTTGTATTGCTACTCTCATTATTGGTCCTGAGGGGTTTATCTGTCCTGGATTCCCTGTGTTTGCAGCTCTTATCCATACCAGTGCACATGCTCTGGTCTAGCCCGATTTGTAAGGTGGAATTGGGGGTCATGATAGTGGGGAAAGGAAACATTAAAGAACTAGAGAAAAAGTTATATGCTTCGTCGGTGCTATACCACACCCTGACTGGCTCGTCTGTTCTTTATGACCCTTCTGTAGGGGGATGTCCAACTGTCTACAGATGGACTTTAGTTCTCCACTCCGCCCTTCCCCCCACATTCACATCTATATAATTTTTTGTTCTCCCTTCCCATACTTTATTCTCCTATCTTTCCCTTATATCCCATCTTTCTCTTTCTTGAAATGATCTTTTCTTCGGTGACCCAAGGTGATGTCTTGTCAGCATCCTCGATAGATCTGTGTAGTTTTCTTTTCGTCATGGTCACACGTCACAGAGTCCTTGAGCCCTTTGCTCCAAGGTCCTCCTGATGCATCATGTTGTTCATATGAATTATAGAAAAATCAGAATTAATAAATTTATATTAAAATTATAAAAGTCAGAACTAAACGACATGCAGAAGCAGCTAAGTACAGAGATGTGTACATTTCTATATTTAGAAATATCCCAAAAACTGGAAAACAAAACTGGAGCCATTCTAACAAGTGAATTAGCTAGCTCTCATCTGCACATATAAGTAAGTACCTAATGCAAGTAAATAACAGAATCCTAAAACTATTCTTTTTTTTTTTTTTTTAACATTTTATTAGGGGCTCATACAACTGTTATCCCAAT